TACCTAAAAAAAAAATAGGTAAAAAACTTTTTCAGTTAAACGGTTTTATGTTAAACATACATTGCAATGTTTAAGATAAATGTACTAAAAACCAAAACCAAAAAATAATAAAATAGATACAGTCGTGGGAATTATAAACATATGCATAGACTAGACTAAAATAAAACCGTGGGGCACGTCAATTATCACGTTGATTAAAATGTTTGTTTTGTAATGTTACACTTTAATTAGTAAGTAGTTCTAGAATGTGGAAACAAGCCAGCAAGCTCGATTATATGCGAGTTTTAGGGTTTCATAGTGGTGAGCGAGTAGTACTTTTATCATATGTTTTGTCGATTAAAGACAAACTACGAGCAGTGAAACGATTCCTCGCCAGCCAGCAGTGTGAATGTCCAACGATAAACTAGTTGAAACATCTCTTTTATTTACATGGAGTGTATAACTATTTTAATTTCCATGAGCAAGAAAATAGTAAGTTATTTCCTCACCGTCTGCGGGCCAACTGCCTAACGACGAATTAAACGATTCTTCTATCGCACATTAAGTCGATAATTTGTAGACAATTGACGTGAGCCACAGTTTTATTTTAGTCTAGTCTATGCATATGTTTATAATTCCCACGACTGTATCTATTTTATTATTTTTTGGTTTTTAGTATATTTATCTTAAACATTGCAATTTATGTTTAGCATAAAACCGTTTAACTTAAAAAGTTTTTTTACCTATTTTTATTTTCTAGTTTTTAGTTTTTATTTCGCATTCTGTTTAATTCATTTAGTGCTTCCTTATTGCAAGGTTTCTTGCCCGTTAGTTTATTGCAGTCCAACTTCTCTATACGTAGTCCCTGCAAAGCCTTACTCTACTAAGAGTCACGTAGACTCCATCGGTCCAATGTTATTTGGGTGGATGTAACAACTGTCCAGGGGTAGAAGAGTTGAGTAACATTCTACTAACATGTTTTGAGAATCAGGAGATCGAGAATATTAAGTATAAATATTGGATATCAAAACCGAGAAGTAGTTTGGAAACTTGAAACTTTTATCAAGCCTACAGAAGAATTTGTTGGAAACTTTTGTAGTGAACTAAAAGTTCTTTTACCTCACTCATTTATTGCTAAAGAACAAGCCAAATTTTTTAAAAAATTTAAAGAAACACTGAAACCAAATGAATTTGTCATTATTTGTGACTTTGCAGAGAATTATGCGTTTGTAGTACAAAATGCAGCATCTGGTTTTCACTGGACTAATAACCAAGCAACAGTTTTTCCGGTGGTTTCTTATTACAAAGAAAATGATGAACTTGAACACAAAAGTTTAGTAATTATTTCAGACTATAATAATCACGATGCCGTTGGTCTTCATGTTTTCATCAAATTAATAACTGATTATGCAAAAAGTCTTCCTGAATGCTGTAACAAGATTTATTTTTTTTCTGATGGGCTCCTCAACAGTTCAAAAACTTTAAAAATGTTGTGAATTTATATTATCATGAAGATGATTTTGATATTCCTGCTGAATGGCATTTTTCTGCGACTGCCCATGGCAAAGGTCCGTCTGATGGAATTGGTGGCATTATCAAACGACACGCAGCGGGAGCCAGCCTCCAACTTGCAGTTGATAAACAATAACAACACCGATAGAATTCTTTGAATGGGCATCTAATCCGAATAACTTACCAAATATCATAGTTAAGTTTTCTCCAGAAAAAGACTATAATACAGCATTAACTGATTTAAATGACATATTTTTGAAAACGAAACCAATTGTAGGAACTCCGAACAAGAATAGTTGTTTGTATGTTAAAAAA